ATTTTAATATAATTTTTTCAATTAAACAATTTTTAGTACAATATAGAGCAATTCATGGATTTCCTTCTCTATTATGATATCAAGATGATTCAGGTGTTTTTATTTATCTTCCAACTGGACAAACTTATGTATCAGTTTATAATGAATATAAAAAAAGTTTTTATCTTACTCATTATCAATCAGAAAAAGTAGTTTCTTATTTTACTTTTAGAAGATTATAGTATGAGATGATTTCTAATCTTTAATTTTAACTACATGCAAGTGATCTTTGTGAAGTATGCTCTTCTTTTAAAGCAAAATTATTAGTTGCAAAGCAAGATATTGATGAATATAACAAAGTTCAAGTTGAATGTGATGAACATAGAGTAGCTACAGATCTTGAAAGACAACATAATAATAATAATATTGAAAAAAGTAAAAATGATTTAAATATTACACATATTTGTTATGATTGGGCACAAAATATTTCTATACCTTATTCACCTTAACAAGTAGGTTCACTTTATTTTAAATCACCTTTTTCTGTACATATTTTTGGCATTTGCAAAACTGGTATAGAAAATCATCAATTGAATTTTTTAATTGGTGAAAATGAATTTCCTAAAGGGGTTTCAAAAGGGTGCTAATACTACATTAAATATGATTTATTATTTTTTTCAAAATTCTAAAAAACAAAAAAATTAAAAGTTACTTGTGATAACTGTAGTAGACAAAATAAGAATAATTTATCACTTTGGTTTTGGTCTTGGTTATGTTCATTAAATTGGTATGAGGAAATTGTTGTTAATTTTATACTTTTTGGTCACACAAAATTTATCTGTGATTCATTTTTTGGGCAGATTAAAAAAGTAAATAGAGATAATCGTGTTAATACTATAGATAATGTTGAAAATATTGTAAATAATTCATCAAAGGGAAATAATGTAATTCAATATAAAAATAGTAAAGGGTGGGTTTGGTATGATTTTAGTTCTTTTTTTAAAGATAGCTTTAAACCTTTACCAAATATAAAACAATATCATTACTTTTGATTTAATAGCTTAGATATTGGAAAGGTTTATGCTTCAAAAAAATCAGATGGAGAGGAAATTTCTTTTCTATTATTATACAATAACAATTTCAATAAAAATAGTCAATTAAATACTATTTGTACTATTCCGTTATCAGATGACCATAAAAAATACCTCTATACAAGAATCTGTCAACATGTTGATAATCCATATAAAGACATTTTATGTCCGCAACCTTAATACTAAAAAACTTTTATTTTAGTAACATTGTTTAAAATTATAGTTATTTTATACTATTTCTAATAAAGGCACAATTAATCAATTAAAAAAACTTAATGATTATTACTTATTCTGTATTTATAAGTTAATTATAAAACTGGTAGCAAGATTGAACGTGATAAAAATTTTGTTACTCTATCTAAAAAATCCTGCTATTAAATTTCAGATTATGTAGTACTTTATAAGTAATATTTTAAAAACAAATCAAAAAATTTAGATTCTGCCGCTGCAGTACCCAGAATGCTATTTGAAAGAATCAGTACTATAAACAATAAAAAATATGTAATTAAAGTTCTAAAACTAGTAAATAAGAAAAGACAGAGATGATAAAAAATACAGCTCAATTTTTGAGTTAAATTCAAAAAATTCAAAGCATAATAAAATAGCAGCAAGACCTGTGATTTAATGTTTTGCACTTACTTAAATTTTATATAATGCAAGTGCAGTTACTTTAATTTAAAAATTATTTTGGTTTATACTAATTAGTTCCACAATAATTGTCTGCTATATAGTTGTTTTACAAAAACTTTTTTGCATGATGAAGAAAGAATAAACCTTAATCCCAAAAGATAAAACCTCTGACAAAAGTCAAAACACCAAATTTTTTTAACAAATGATAAAACCTTAAACTTAAAATTATGAAACTTTATGCTCAAAAAGATGATATCTAATGCTTTTATTAAAAAAAAATCAACATTCAGATCAGTATCCGAAATTACACATATATTAGCAAAAGTAAATCAGCTCTTTTTTTTTGAACAATGCTAGGATTATTATAGATCGGTTGAAATAATCTTGTCCAAAAGCCATAGTACTCATGAAATAATGAATTAAAGCATACTATATAACACAAAATGAATTTGTAAGATCGTAAAGTAAGCACCAGGCAATTTTTCATCAAAACTAATATATATAATATAATATCGAATACTTATAGAAAATTCACCAGTTAATGATATTTATCTAGAAATACAATGTTCTTTGATAAAATGACTGTTCGTCCTTCTAAAGATTTAAAAGATGAAGTAGAAAGAGCAATGGTGAATGAAAATCTGGATAAAGAACTGATGAAAGTATTCAACACTTGTGGACATTTCTTACCCAGAAAAATAGTTATAGGGCACAAATTATATAGAAAGTCTAACTTATTAGCGAATCATGAAAATAATAATCAGATTGCAATTATTCAACAAGCAGAATGGAAAAATACTGAATGATTTTAAAACAAGTGAATTTGAAAATTTATATGGAGATATAATATAATTTTGATACGAACTTATTTCGAACACCTATTAAACGATTCAAGAGCCTATTATACAGTAAAATTTTATATCTTATACACATAATTTTCAATGATTTCAACAACATTTATTTTGTATATTCATCCTTTATTAGTTTTGTCACTCTTAACAATTTCATCAACTTCATCACTTTTCATCAATTTTATCGCCTTTTGTCAGTTCGTCATTTCCTCATTTAAAATTTTAATTGACGAAAGACGAAACTAGCTAAAGCTTCAAATAAGACAGTCATTATGCATGCCTTGCTTTGTTTAGTCTCCAAAAGTGGCATGACTAAATATAAAAATTTACTTTCGATATCAAGCACGGAAGCAGTGGAAGGATATTTTGAGCCAAAGAAATTTGCAAGAAGTCAGAATTTGGTCAATTGAGAATCAGGTGGATTATTTTGACATAATGAATTAAATTCAAGAGCTAGTAGGTTTTGCATTTCATTATCAACACTACCTACTCAAAAGACTTATTTCATATCGATGAACAAACACAGGTTGAATCAACGAATATCAGATATATACCAGGAGAAAAGTTTTCTAATATGTACCCGTTAGTCTGCTATAAATCTGCCAAATACCTGCAGAATGTCAGCAGCATATTGGCAGTATAGTGTCAAGATATCAGAATGTAGATCGATATCAGCAATATAACAGCAAAATATTGGGATACCCTGATATCATACTTTTAGACCCAGAGTGCTAAGAGTAAGATATCAGAGTATCACAATATTGTGCTTTTATATTACCAACGATCTGCCTCCTAATATCTTACAAGTATGCTGCCAATATGCTGCTAACATTCAGCAAGTATTTGGCGAATCTATAGCAGACATATCAGAAAGTTTGTCTTCCGGTATGCACCTGATATTTATTGATTTAACTGTGAAAGTGAATTATTTTACACTAATTCTCTATATGTACAAGATATAACTTATATAGACAAGAGAATAAGAAATTTTCCTACTCACATTTATTTAATCACTTTGGATAGATTTATTGATGATTGCAAAATAATGTTTGGGGCAGAAGTATCAGCTGGCTTAGAACAAGATTTGTAAAAAATTAATATTTTTAACTGGTATTTGTTCAAAAAGTAAGATTATAAAAAATTTATTTTCCGTAATATTTTTTATTAGTTTTTAAATTTAAATTTTTGAGTAATTTTTGGAACTGAATAGAGACTGATCATGTGAAAAAAAGTTTGTAATATTAATTGAGAGAGCTTGTCAAGTAAGTTGATTTAGCTTTAATAGTTATAGTAAGAAATACATAGTCTAAATAGAAAAGAGATACAAGATTGGGGTATATAAAGACAGAAAACACAAAATATTGAAGTTGGGGCAAACAAACAATGAATCACATTAACAAAAAAGTCGTAATAATAAAATTAGGAAATGCAATATGTACGTTTTGGTTTTATTACAATTAAAGGTTTTTTTAGCTTTATACGAGCTTACTTCCTTTATTTATATTACAGTAAAATTGAAGAGAACTCTTACTTTATTACATTTAAAAACTTGTGCTTATATATGTTAAGATCGGTCTTATCAGTTATCTAAATTATTTAAAAATTAATGTAAAGACTGATAGACTTCTATTTGAAATGTTATAAAAAAACAACTTTCTATAACTTTCACTTATTAGACAAATGCTAGTTACAGTAAAAATGCCAATTTTTTACAAATCTTGCTCAAAATTACTTCGGGACCTGCTTTTTTCTAATTGAACATCATAATTTTGATTGGTTGATCCCTAAAATCTGCAATAATCGGAGATCAGCATATTTAAAATTAGCGGCCAATCAAATTTGGGCTGTTTTTGTTATACAATGTTTATTTACTATTTACTCAAAAAAAAATTACTAGTGCCGTAAGGTCATTTTCAAGGCAAAAATCTCATATGTGTATAAATTTAAAAAATTGTTATAAAAAGTTGATCCAGATAAGCAAATCCCCTGCTATACATGATAGGTATGTTTTTAGGAGGCCTCCACGGGACCACTACCGTGTTAATGTTATTAAAAGACCCTGAAACTTTGGACAAAGCAATTGCAGCTGCACAAAGAGTAGAAGCAGAAATTATTATAAAAATAGGAGAGACGAAGAACCTGCTAATACACTCATTAACAATTTAGCTCAAAAAATGCACCAGATGGCCGCTAACTACAAAAATTTAACTACTACGCTCGTGGCTAAAGCAGAAATTAGCTCGACCCAACCCACACATAGGCAAAATCCACCCCAACAAAATCAAAATAGAGGTATTATATACTATAATTGTAGAGGAAAAGGCCACATAGCTCATAATTGCCTCTTAAAAAAAATTCATCGTCTAGAACACCCCTACTCACATCGAGCAAAGCAGTACCAATATCCGGAATCTCAACATGTATAAAGTATACCAACCTGGTCCTGTGGAAGAAATTTATACAATTAAGTATCGAGCAGAGCCCAATTAGGACGAACAATTAAGAAAGAGAGTTGCTTCTGACCAAACTCAAGTAACTCAACTCACATAACAAGACCAACCTACCCCAATAGAAGTACTTAGCTCAGAATTAGTATCTGCCTCGATTTCACTCCAAGTAGAAAATGATAGTTGTCCAAGACGTTATAGATGATCTATTGAGCCAACGGGCTAATACAACCTATGCACAGTTACTCCAAGTCTCTAAACAAAGACAAAATCTCTTTTAAGCCCTCTGACACCCACTTATAACAACTACAGAAGAAACTAACCTAGTTGAGCCACCCATTAGCACCAGAACAACTACCGCCAAATACTACGTTAGAGTTAAAAATAATCTGATATTAGTGGTGTTAGACTCTGGAGCCACTATTAGCATTATATTGAAGAAATTAGCAAAGAAACTTAGCTTAGAAATTACTGAGC